TGTGTGTGTGTGTGTGTGTGTGTGTGTGTGTGTGTGTGTGTGTGTGTGTGTGTGTGTGTGTGTGTGTGTGTGTGTGTGTGTGTGTGTGTGTGTGGAGCCAGCCCACCAACAGGAAGGGCCACAGTGCCGTGGTGCTGGGCTCCTCCATGCTGCTGTACGGAGGACTCATCGACATGAAGGGGACCTCACAGGACTTCTGGAGTCTGGATTTTGGTGAGTTTGACATTTCTTTAGTCCCACAAGAAGAGGAAACACTCATAGATGCATGTTTTTATACATGTCATGCCATGTTTGCAGCATACAGCGAACCCAAGTTGTCAGACACATTTACACGGCAACAGGGACCAAGCCTCCTGATTTTCAGCCTGGGCCTCGCCTAAAACAGTCGCCTGAGATGCCAAAAATGTGATTTCATGTAATTACTAAATGTTCTGTTCTCTGAGAAAAGGATACCGCAGACATACAGCAAAGAATAATAATGTTCTTTAATACACTGTATTATATTCCCGATACATCGGAAGATACACTTTTGGTTTCCTCTAATATATCATCTTTGACTAAATATTTTAGAAAAGCATAGTACACTGAAAAAACTAAGAGGTTGACTTTAATTAAATGTATTAAGTCAACAAATTTCACACAACTGTATGAGGTTACTTGAAAGCAATAATATTAAGTTGAACCTATTTAAATGTATTATTATTGCTTCCAACTAACCTTATACAGTTATGTGAATTATGTTGACATAATACAATTGACATAATACATAGTAATGTTTGATTTGAAATGTTAGTTTTTTGAACAGTTGAATGAAAGAGGTAAAACTGAAACTTTAAAGTAGTATTTACATGTTGTCATTTTCAAATGCCTTCAGATATTTCAAGTTTCCATTGTGAAGATAATTTCCAGTTATTGTACAATGAATGAAGTGTAACATCAGTGGAAGGAGCTTCTCATTGCGCTCATCACACCAAACAGTGTCCTGCACAAAGACCTTTCATATTGTGACAGTAACATGTATGTGTTTACTTGTCCCTCATGACAGACTCCATGGCCTGGTCCCTGCTGAGCGGCTCCCAGCAGGCCTCACTGGGCCCCGGTCCCCGACACAGTCACTCAGCCGTGGCCCACCAAGGCTGCATGTACCTGTTCGGGGGCCTGAAGGGCCTGCGGGAGCAGAGAGACTTCTGGAAGTGGGACTCCTGCAGCCACATGTGGAGTCCCCTCAGAAACAAGTGAGAAGTCATATGATAGTTAGTTAGTTAGTCTGTCCTCTACAGGGGGGGGGGTTTAGGTCCACAGCTAAAAACACCACTGACGCAAAACACTTGTACTGTGTTTAATCAAATATACAGAGTTAGTTTTAAAAAAAATATTTTAATGTTTGTACTTATAATGTACTTACGTTACATATTACATGTCATTTGTTAGACGCTTTTATCCAAAGCGACTTATATACATTCAGTACTGTGGAGAATCCCCACAGGAGCAATCTGGGGTGAAGTGTCTTGCCCAGGGACACAACGACATG